GACGAACTGTTGCCCGTCAGAAAAGTAATTTGTAAGCCAGCGATGCATGTTGTTCTCTAAGCCTGCCTTGTGCGGAGAACAGAGAAGGCCAGCTCTTGGGATTATGTTGAAAACCTCTGAAAGGCCTAAGAAGACGGCCTTCGCAATGGTACTGCCACAGTTGGGTGCAAAGGCTAGCAAGTCCGTACAGTAAGCTAGAACATTTAAGGTGAAGCGGTCCCGCGTGATAGCGAATTGCCAGCTTTCATTTACTCCTTAAAGTTGGCCGATGGGTACCAGTCGAACGAAACCCTCTAGTGCTTTAAGCAGCAGAGAGATTAACGTGATTGGGCGAAAGTCTTCTGATTTGATCGTAACTGCAGTCTTTAAAATGGTCGGCTGAGATCCCGCAACGTTTGATGCTTCTAATACGACGAGTTCTCCATTTCAAAGTTAATCCCCATGTGAGTCAGTCATTTGCTCGATATTGTATTCTTCAACTTCTAATTTTAGTTGTTCATCAAGCTCCAGTCTTTAGATGCACTATGAACTACCGTAATGTAAACGCGTTAAGTAAAAGCTCGAAATTTTTTCCACAGTCATTTGTATAAACTCAGGTCTGTCAGCATACCCCAAGCATAGAAGAAAAACAGTGGATTATATTAGCATTGAGATAATTCATCTGTTTTTTTAGCCATGTTCTTTTAGACAAGAAGTCGGTTCACACGGCAGAGACACAAGAGGCATATTTCGCGTGCACCAATTCGAAAAGTTAAGACCTGAGTTTCTTCGATGAAAGTGTTTTTAACAAATTTTTAGATTTGTTTTTTAGATAGAACAGTTCGTCATTGCTTCGCCTCATGACAACAAATCCTGGGATATGTTTGATGAAATGCTCAAGAATGCGGAAGACTTTTACCAATCTTTAAAGATCCCATACAGAATTGTGAACATTGTTTCCGGTACTGGTTTGTACATTAACTGATGTCAGTTGCTCAGCTGACTTTCAGAATAAGTCGTTTCTGCATGTTTTTTTTATCAGGTTTAGGCGGAACCCTTTGATAACGCTAGTTATGGCATCATTGTATCTTTAACAACGCATTTGTTCTTTTAAGTATGTTCAAAGGCTAGAGCCAATTCGCGTTTGCTGCTAGCATTTTTTGCACCTCGCAGTGTACTGGTCCGTCCATAGTAACATAAATTTTGAATGGCTTTCTACACCTACAAGGCGTGATAGGTTTCCTCAGTCCCCATTGTTATAGCTTCTTCAGTCCATCGCTTTGGAATTCATGAAATTGCTTCACGGCAACTATTAAAAGAGATTAAATTTCACTGCGCTTTGTTCTTAAATGCAATGTCATGTATTGTTTGCCTGTCCTGCAAGTCGTATGTAATTTTGAGAGCACAGTTATGTGGTAACTTGACGTGTTGCTTAGATATTTAATCAGTTGCTCAGCGATTATCCAGAATGATAAAATCATTAAAAGTCTAGTCTGTTTCATAGTTTTTACGATATATTTTGTATAGTTTGTTTGTATAAACAGTTCGATTTTGTTTTATCTTCATAGTATGCGCTTTAAACATATCACTTCGATTCTTAGGTGAGTTAAATAGTGCTGCTGCTAAGAAGTGTGACCTTGAGGCCTGGTTTCCGGGGTCTGGTGCTTTCCGTGAACTAGTGTCCTGCTCGAACTGCACTGACTATCAGTCGAGAAGACTCGGTATTCGGTACGGTCAGACCAAGAAGATGAATGCGAAGGTAATTCTTTTATTGTGATTCGGTCTGATATATTAATATTGTCATTAAAAGTTATTGCATAATGATTCGTAATATCACTCATGTTCTTGAAGTCTGGGTACATGTGAGATCAAATGTAACAGTTTCGAATTGAAAATTTTTTTTGGCAGTAAAGCTCAGTGCCTCCGTTTTCTTCCCCAGATATGATGGAAATTTGATCTTTCTAACCTTTTATCTTCTTTCTGCGGATTAGCCTCCTTTGGGAAACGGCCATCATGTCTTATGGTTCTTCTTTTGCAGGTTTTGTTTTGACTTTCGTTTATGATAAGAAGAAAAGCTTAAAAGAACTTCTTTGAAAGTATTGTTGAACATTTTTTGTGCGTATTTTTATCTGTTTACTGGTTTGCATTGATTATTAGGCAGATTACGTGCACATGCTAAACGCGACCATGTGTGCCACCACCCGGACGTTATGCGCTATACTTGAAAACTATCAAACTGACGAGGGCATCGAAATACCAGAAGTGCTGCAGGCTTTCATGCCGAAATGTGCGTTCTTAAACTGTAGGTGAATTTTTTTATTTAAACAATAAGTGTTTAGGTTATCAAACGATCATTCCATTTGTTAAAAAGATTGCGGATATTCCCAAGAAGAATACGCCTAAGCCTGCTGATCAACCTTCGTTAAACAGAGACAACCACAAAGAAGAGTGACGTTTTTTATTTAGCCCTGCTGTTTCGCCGATCACTTCAGATAGCAGAACGCGAAACAGTCAGTAAATGAAAAAAATAAATTCTTGTCTTTACCGATATTGTTTTGCTGCAAGAGATTGGAGAGGTATGGCACACACGGATTTTCGAGGCTTAGGCGTGCGGCTTTTCGGTTTGCCTTTGTCTAATAGGATGGGTTTTAATAAAAATATGAACTATAATTATTCGAAGTCCTACTGTTTTTTGTAAAGCTGGTATTGAACTTGTCTTAGAACTTCTGATACGTGGGCTTGACTCATTTGACAGTCTAACAGTGATTTCGTTGTTTTGTGTTTTCACCGCGTTTTATATTCACTTGGACGTGGCTGCGCTTGCTTGTCCAGTTTTTTATCCTAAAGTGGCAGCGCCTTATTTCACTATTATAGCTCGTCACTATATAATCCGGATGGATTCACCATCTGTCTAAGTCAAGTCCACAGGTCAGTTTGTGGCCAATCATAAATGGCGTTAGTATCAACTACAGAATTCAATCTGTAATGCAAAATATCAGGAATTCAACAATAGCAGATCTTTCATCATATCTGTTTCTAAATTGCAGTTGAGTAACCTCATGTCGAATACTTAGTGCTGTTTTGTCATCTGACCATATCTGACGTATGCACGTACAGTTGGTTGTAATCCGATGTTGTAGGACTTCGTCTTATGTAAATCGTGTGAGGATCCTGCATGTACCACGCTTTACCATCAGAAAATTTCTTTGCATGTATTCTACCTCTTTAAACATATGCGTCAGGTACCATCTTTCCAGTCCTGCCGAAATACGGCTTCAAAGCACTGAGACAAGTTTGTAGAACAAGTGGCCTTTCTCGCACCATGGTCTACTGCATTACGAGGCTGATTTAGCGATCTGTTGTGGTTCTCAGAACTACTGGAGAGTGCAGAATCTTGGAAAACTCATTCATTGCATGCCAGATTCTCGACAAGTCTGTCGCAAATTTAATCAACTAGATCTAGGTATTTCGGTGTTTTTTGCCAGAACAGAATTGTACCTAGGCTCAAAGATCCTAACTTTAGTGCCTCCTACTACGTTTCACTGACGTCAAACGAGAATACTTCAATTTGCTTAGTGACGTAGTCTAAGTTCATTTTGTCTCTATTAATTTTGCTACATGGTTCTGTACTGATTTCACCGGCGATTCGTTTACTCACATTGTTTTTGTTAGAAGGTACCGTGCAAGTGCAGTTCTGTTTTGTGACGTGCAATACTTTACGCCTTTGCATTTTTTACAAGAAGTTTTTGTGATCCCGTCGAAGCATTAAATTGTCCATCATTCGTTCTCAGCAAGTTTGAATCTTACTCTACAACCAGTTTGAGGATGTAAAGCAATTGACTGGTATGCGACCCACAGACCGCTTTTCGTTATAATGTGGTGGTTCCAAACATATTGCTAGGCTTATCGGATCAAATTCTTTTACTTAGCTAATTAAATCATTACTACAATGAATAACCGCCTAACATTTATGCAAACATTACATTGTATCTTGTTCATTTCTGTAAATTTTACATCGTGTAGTCGTAAAAGTTTAAACGTTAAACGGTTACCTAGGCTAATAGAAGCAAACGGCCTGGCTACCCGTATAAATCAGGAAAATTGACAGGAGATTGTTATTCTTACTGCATGTAGTGAAAAGTAGCGATTTGCTACTGAACCGACAGCATCGGAGTTTATATTTAAAACAGTTTCGTTTCTGATAATTTCAACGGTTCCCATATTACAATTCATATTAATTAACTAATCAACGGGATTATCATTGCTTATTCATGATGTCAATCATCTGCTTAGATTTTTCGCCACAATCAGCGTCCACATCTTTATTTCAGCTATTTGTGCCTATAGGTTCATCAGCGCTATGAAAATACAATTTTACACTAATAATTTAGTAACAGCATTTCGCACTTGCATTCAGAAACGAACATGTGAATATTAATTTAATTGTACAGCAGTTTCGAGAATTATGCCTTAATTGGTAGGTTTATTTAATAATTTGATCCTTAAAGCCTGTTCACAGTCTTTTCTACAATCGAGTTAGATAACTCATTGCCGAAATGGATGCAGAGAATCGTGACTATAAATTTCAAATATTCAGCAGCGACTTATGACATTTCGTCGTTGTAGCACTATGAATGATAAGTAAGGTATCGGAAGTGATTAAATTCGTGCGTCGGTGATATGTCATCCAATAAGTTCGCTTCCGCACCTGGTCAGGAATACGACAATATGGTTCCAAATGTTTAATAGCTCGTTAAATAATTCAGTAGGCT